TTATGCAGCACAGAAGGAGTGGGTGCACAGAGACCACCACTGATGCAGTGGTTTATCAGGACAGCGGTGGGCAGGGTGTGGTGGAGAGGCTGAGGGGTGTGGGAACAAACTAACTGCGGGCTGGGGTAGGGAACACTAGAACAGATTTCGATGATGTACACACAACTCCACTTAAACATCGACTTCACTGGAAGTGTATGATATGTGACTATTATATCAAGAAAACGGCTTCTCAGAAAGAAACCACAGTCGAGTTCCTCGCCGAGGCAGAGGGGTCAGCCCGCAGCGTCATCGGACTGGAGACTGCAGATGGCCGCTGGGCGCCCGCTGCCCTCCGCAGCCTTCCGCAAACTGAGTGTTCACAAGCCGCGCTCGGCCCTTTTCCCTTCGTCCTATCTGGATGTTGTTTCCATCGTTTTGGGGTCACACCACTGTTAGGCTTCTTCCACGTGGACTTAGCTGTGGCACCCCCCCTGGATGGCTGCTTATTTGAAGACAAGCCTTATAGACCTCAGAAGTGTTCCAGTGTAGCTCCCGTGTCTTCAGTGATCCTTTCGTGCAGGTGAGTGTGGTGCAGCACAGGCCGTGTGATCAGAGCCAACTGTGCTTGACCTGGGGCTGGAGTTCAGCGGGAGCCCAGAGCGCCTGCTCATCCACAGGTTATGAGCGACTGGTTCACTTTGGCAACAACAACAGCAAGAAGCCCACGGAGACAAGGAAACGAAAAAGACCAACGCTGTCAGTCATCCCCCGGGGTAGAAGGTGATTGCATTAGTAACATCAGTCATTACCCTGCGGCATGGAGCTTAAGCTACAGTTGATGTGAGCCGTTTATTCGCGTGCCATCCAACTGTGCCGACCGGCAATCTGTGACTGCTGCTTTGCACAGATTGATTTCTCGATGGACTGAGCTCTGTTTACACGGAGCGTGGGCACTGGTGCCAGGGAAAGCTCCCGTGTCGGTCCTCACAAGGGCAGGTCCTTGCCTTGTCATCCAACTGCACGGGGAGCATCAGGGTGCTGAGTGTACCGCGGCTTCCTCGCCATGTCTTCAGAGCTACCTTCCCTCCCCACATCTTCCCTGAGACCAGAAGATCTAGACAGTGCCCGGCTGCCATGCCGACTTTGGACCAGACATGGAAGAAGCTCCAGAGGGGGAACAAGGGCTTCTTCATAGTGGCCACATGCAGACCCCCGGAAGCGCTCACGGAGTCAGATCGCAGACAAGTGGATCTGAAGGGGAGGGTGGAAGGGTTGGCTTCCGTATCTATGTATTTTTTTTCCCAACTGACCAGCTTCTTCTGTGTGACAGCATGGGTTTAAGGCAGCTGCCTGAAGTAGGAGGACCTAGAAGCCTCCTTAGAAGCAAGGAACAAGGGGCCTTGGTAGGCTGGCTTCGGGTGCGCCACCAGGAACCGGCTCTCTGGCTTGTCAAGTGGAGGTGGACTGACCCGGCGGTTGCGACAAGGGGCTCAGACACAGCAACACTGCGAGATTGGCACAGGCCAGGGCAAGGTCACCTTCGGTTGTCCATGTGTGTTTTCACTGACTGGATTACACCTCACAGCAGCGAGTGAAATAGCAAGCATCGGGAGAAGGTTCTTGGCAGCAGGGAGCACCGTGGACCTAAGAGTGGGACCTCTGGGGCTGGCGGGGCTGAGGCACAGAGACCATGCTGCCTGGAAGCATGGATGGACAGCTGGGCTGGGCACAGAGTCCAGGAAGCTCCGTTTAAAGAATAAATAAAACTTCTCAGTGTGCTCTCGGGTACCTTTGTTCTTAGCAGTTAATGCTCCTCTTGAGACTCCCCCCCAGCCCATCAATTACAAACATTAACTGTAAATTACGCTCTTGCATAGTTAATTCAGCCTCTTCATTATGTATTTAGTAGAACTCAGCATGCATAAAACCCTCCAGCCCGCGTTGGCGCCGGTCCAAGCTCCCTCTCCCGTGATGTTTGGGAAACGCTCGAGTTTGGGTGGTGGACCTCGGAGCGTGTCTGTGCCGCCAGACCTCCAGCAGTCTCTGCTCACAGCCGCCCTCCTGGAAGGAGTTCAGGCCTGCGGGGAGGAGATAGCTTCACAGGCTGCTCCTTCCTCATCCCCACCAGAGCAGGCAGTCCCAGCATCCTCCTGGGGATGGGGGGGGGGGGAGTGGGCATTCACCCAAGTGATGACAGACAGGAAGAGGTGGCAGACCAAGGCACAGGACCCAGACGTCCGTGATTCACCTCACACATGCTCCAGGCATGGGCTTCGAGAGGGCACCTCACTGGGCCAGCAGGGTTTCCTTCTGCGGAGCGGAGGGTCTCCACCGCACCCGGCACCACCACCACTGTACCTGGGAAAGGGGTGCACTGGGCTGGCCCCCCTCACTTTCGTTAGGTGCTTCTCAGGCTGTGGTTCTTACAGAGGAAAGGCTGGGGTGCCGTGTCCTGGCAGCATGCGTGTGTCCCTGTGCCCCATGCTCGGTCAGGCGGCGTCCCCGCTGCACACAGACTGTTCCGGCTCAGAGCGACACTCGCTGTGTAGGACAGCACAAAGCACTGCCCGGCCCTGGCCCTCCTCAAGCCCATTTTGTAGCCACTGTGTCCGTGGTCTTGTCGAGAGCCTGCCCCTGCTGGACCAGGCACCCTGCGCTTCTCCAAGGACGGGTCTTCCTGACAGCATGTCCACATGAACACAGAGCCCCCTCCCTTCTCCAGCGAGCTCTCTGGATGGACTTCCCCTAGACAGATCCGTTGGTCCTTCTGGCGGTCCGTGGTGCTTCCACAGTCTGCCCAAATGTCTCCTTCAAACACACCACTCCTCCCTCAGCTGTCCCTGTCCGTGGTCCACCTTCCCCTCGAGCATGCGGTGTGAGGCGATGGAAAACACCTCGACCATGCACCTTTGTCCTCCAAGTAACTGCAGGCACCATTCACCAAGCGCCAAGTCCACCGCCATCAAGTGGATGCCAACTCACAGGGATGCCATCCTTGCCCCCTTTGGGTTTTCTGAGACTGCAGCTGTTTGCGGGAGTAGAAAGCCCTGTCGACCTTAAAGATCACAGCCAGCACGTCACCACCATTGGAGCTGCTACACACAGGATCGGTGGGTCAAACCCACCAGCTGCTCTGTGGGAGAAAGATGAGGCTGTCTGCCACCCTCCCAAAATCATCGGACCTGGCCACCCAATTGATTAGAGTGGACTTGATGGCAGGGTTTGGTCGGTAATATCAGTGCCACCTTGCTATGCATGGCACTCACCCTGGAGCCGTCTGGGAGCGAGGTCCGCCCCCCATGGTGGGGGAGTGAGCCATGAGAGTCAGGGCAGCAGGGGCTAACAGCCACCAGGACCCTTGCGCCGACCGGGGTGGGGGGTCGCCGCAACTCCCCAAAGGCCCTTCTTGGGCCACCCAGGCTCTGGGGGAGAAGCCCCTGCCTCCCCTTTCTGAAACAGACCTGAAGCGGGGTACAGGACCCCGGGGGAGTCCAGTGCCCCCTGTTGTGGCTCTTCCTTCCGCAGCCGTGACCTCGGAGCCGGCCTCCCTCTTGCCCCTCCCACCGCGGGAGGGGAAGCAGCCCCAGATCCCATTTTCCGATCGGCAGAGTTCCGCACAGAGGGCAGGCGGCTTGGACCCTGAGGCTTCCAAGGCCACGGAGACTGTTGAGGCACTGTGGTGTTCCAGCTGTTTATGGATTTACTATTACTGTTTTGGCCCTTTTTTTTTAAGCCTATTTTGAATATTTATTTCAAGAGCCCCCATGATACATCGACACTACTAATAAGGGGTGGCCCCTGGTCATTCTCTGCAGCCACTGTGGTAGTTATATAATTGTCATTTTAAGGATTAAGTGTGTAGGGGTGGAGTCTAGCTTGTCAATCAGATCATGGCCAATGAGGCCTCTGTGTGGGCATGGCCTTCTCCTGAGAAGTCTGGGAAATCCGGTACTTCCTC